AAGCAGATCGTGTCAACAGATTTGTGTTCGTTATGAGAAAACTTCTGGATGGGGGTATATTGGTTACGTTGTTTCTTTTATTAAATTTTTTGTAGACCCGATGGATCAAAATTTGCATGAGTGGGTGCCAGAAAGTGATCTCCCAATGGCAATCAAGCTTTTCTCATTGGCTTTGTTTTTCATCCCAGGTAAACCCTATGATTAAAAAAAGAGATTCATCTAAATTTAGGCGCAATAAACTGCAGTACTATTGTGAATCGACTAATCTCCTGTTCACATGCGTCGACAATTCTCACTGGAGTAAATAGTTTTTTAGAAATGCATTTAATCAGCGCATTTTTTAGCTTATTTGCAGTCTTCCCTCATATGCCGAGTGTGCCCTCTTCAACCTATTAGACGTAAATAACTTTTATATGCGCTTAAAGCTTCAAGTTTTAGATCAACAATTTGAGCGAGGAAACTGTGAGAGGCAAGAATCGTTTTCAGATGATCGTTAGTGTAAGGAAATGTGCAAGTAAAAGTTCTAGCTTTTTTTTAGTTGGTGACATTGTGTCCTTCGATGGCCGGAGTGGCTGTAGAGACGCTTTCACAAAATCGACGCGATGCATTGCTGGCCGTGAAGCTAGCCGCGCTTCGGGTAATATTTTTAGTTATCGGATACCCAATTAAGCTTCTTGATTTGGAAAAGTGAATAGATTTTGTGCTGATGTTTTTGATAAGTTTTGGAATATTTAGGCAAACAATCAAGAGTTCATCCGCTTTCTAACGTATTGCTTAATCGATCGGTCTTCCCATGTTTTCTCGGCTGTTCATAAGTAGACTTTTTACATTTTGCAAAATCTATAAATCTTTAGAACTTCTGGGCGGGCTGCTTTTGCTAGTCTTCAAGAGCGAGTAATGAAAATTCTTGAAGCAACTGTGGCAGAGTAAGCAATTCTCCGATAAAAATCAGAAGAAAGTGAATTTAGGAAGGAGTTGAAAGCGAACGAGGAATTTGTTGAATGCCTTGCTCTAGTTCATCTACAATCGAACGCTAAGCTTACGGCCGCTGAAGTGAAGTTGCTGATAAATTACCTATGTTTGAAGGTACAATTACGAATGAAAATTGACTGGAAGTTTTAAATGTAGATTGATGACTCAGGGCACATCCACGCCGTTGTATGCACTCTGTTGTCTCTTCCAGCATTAACATCGTAAGTTTCGAAATTAATTATTTGTTTTTTGCATCAAATAATACGTGCAATGATTAAAGGCTCTTGTTACTTTAAATTAAAACGAAGCAGCATTTGAATTAGCTTGAGTTATTTTAGTGCTCCACCCGGGATGGCACCTGGAACAAGCATTGATCCAAAAGTTGGCGACTACTTGCAATGGTTGAAAGCTCGTGTTACTTCGAGTCAACATGAGAGTCAGTTAAGCGGCTAAATAAAAAACAACCCTTTTAAGGTGCCACATTGCCATGTGTCTTGATAGTAGCTCTTTACTTGTGGTCAAATCGAGTAGAGGAAATCAACAAATTTCTCACGGATAGTCTACTTTGTCGAGTAATTTGATTGGTTGAATAAAAATAAATGTTGTTTAGGTAACTCTGGGCTCACGTCATTTCACGAGTGTTCGCGCATTGCTCCAGGTTGTTTTCCCCGAGAAAGAGTTGGCTCAAATCTGTGCTTCAATGCCGATTACATTTGGTATGTAAAAAATATTATTACACCGATTGGCATTTAAATGTGACATCTATAAAATCACTCTAGTGATGTTTTTCAGGTTTGCACAAGAACGATGACAGTCAAGGTCTGTTGCCCGTGCATTGGATTTGCGACTTGATGAGCCAGAAGGTCTTCCAAAAGCATAATGTTGATGTTGGAGTAAGTAAAAAGCATTTTGACCATAAAACCTTTGAGCGTCAATTATTTAGAATTGGGTACAACGACAAATTCAACATTCACTTGCGCCAATTCATCCCCTTTTATCTGATGCCATTGACAGGTTATTGTTTCATTGTTTTTTTTAAAATTCCAACGTCTTGGATTCAGATTAGCCGAGTATGCTGCCCAAGCGGAGATCCGACAAGGATTGGAGCGTAAATTTTGCGAAGTTGGTTGCTCTTTTGTAAGGCTTATTCAAATTTTCAGGAGGTGTTTATTGGAGATCTCATGGATGAATCGATGCTTGTAAAGAGGTTGTTGGTACTTCAATATTTGCTCACCTATCGGCAACGCTTCACCGCTTCGGGAAGAAAAGAGGATAACCCGTACAGTTGGTTTAAAATTGAAGTTATTTATAAAGCGTTTTGACAGTCATTGGGTCTACAACTTTTTTAGAATCCATCTACCAAACGATTCCGATTCGTTACTTGTTGAGCGTCATTGAAGCAAATGCGGTCGATTTTGCGCCAATTCGACTTTCTTTGGTGGGTGTTACTATGCCAACATCTGCTTTAACTTGATTTTTTTAGGTCGGCTCCTCCATTGCCCTGTTCCCCTACATGAGACCAACGCGGAAAAGCATAGAACTTGTTAGAAACCGACGCAGAGCTTCTACTTGTCAACTTCCAACGGGCTTTGAGGTGGGTAATAATTAATTAGATTCGGCTGTGGTTTAACTAAATTTACCAAACTAATTGCTGCGCAGGCGTACGTATCAATTCCACTAGTTTCAAGTTATTTAGATTCAAAAGATCCTCTGTGGTAGCGATCGAGCGGCAGCGTTAAAAGCAGCAAAACATCTCGAGAATGCCAGCTTATCCGATTTGGTAAGAAAAAAAATGGAGACCGTAATAAAATGATTTCAGGTTAAACTTTTGCCCGTCATTGTACAAGCTCTCAAATCTGTAATCCCACCTCTGGAAGTTTTGGAAGGAAACGATGGCGCACCGACAACAAGCCTTGATGATGGAAATTGTATGTTGAAGTTTTTCATCGTTAAATCTTTGTTAAATTAGGTAACCGACTTGCGGAAACTCTTTCAAATGTTTGGCTTGACTTGGAGGCAATTGTGCCGAGACAAGTCATTGAAGTTTGTGTGTTTGTTTTACAATAAAGAAAGAACATTTTAGAAGACACTAATTGCGTTCCAAGAGACACCCTTCATGGTCGACCAAGCTTATGCACAGCCGTGTCTAGTCTTCGATGTTGATAGAAGGTATCTATTTGTTTATTAGTGTTCCTGGGTCCTTTAAGAAGCCTACGAGGACTGGTGAGACTTTAACTGATTAAAGCTTGTGGAAATACTTTTGTTTTCAGAGTTTTTGCCTCACCTCCACACTTCATGATCTTTCTGCCGATGCTTTCATTTTTCCTCGAAGCAGGACGGGCCGAAAAGGAGAGAGCCGTTTTGATTGCAAATATGAAAACGGGACAGCAGTACGAGGATAAACAAAAGTACGTTTATCATTCACTATTTAATTCTTTGAGTAGTAAAGTAGTGAAATTTAAACCAGTTCTTTAAAATTTGCAGATATCCAATGATTGAGGATCGGCAAAGGTTTGAAACTATCACTCTCCTGGGCCTATTTTCTCTAACAGATTCAACCAAGATCCTGTCTTTTAGCCTTTTTCCATTGCTAAACTGGGGTTTCCGGGTTTCGGGTCAAACTTAGTTCAAGCTTTATGCAAATGTAAGCGATTCCCTGATGGTTGCTTAAAAAGACTAAATTCTATATTTAACTTTTTTTTCAGGCTATATCAATGTGAGGAGCGAGAGATTCTCTTCAGCGTCCTCGATCACACTCAAAGAGCGGCTGCGGTACAATTATTGATTGAGATTTGCGATCAAACAAAAAACAAATTTAGTGAGTTCGAATTTACGGTTTTAAAGGAATCAAAATTTAGTTGTGGCACCTTTTCGTTTGGAGAAGATTCGGATGTTGGCTTTCAACTACATCCATTCGATCTTCATTCGTGATATTCAAGTGATGAAACTCGTGCTTTTTGAGGTAAATCGCTTGCTTCATCCGAAAGATTTGCGTTTTAGACTTTTCCATTGCACATGCTTCGCTCAGTTATTGAGGGGATCCCATCAATGCACGTTGCCCAGAATTTTATACAGGTTTTAAACAAGGGTTTTTTATACGTACCGCCTATTCTAGGAGATGATGGTCTTTCCGGAGAATAAACGACGAATATTCACGATTTCGTTGATCATCGAAGTCTTTAGAAAGGTAGAGAGAATTTTTGGAATTTGCATCAATTTGGCTTTTTAGTACCGCGTGAAAGCGACGCTCCCATTGGTGACGATGACGCTGAACGCGCTTTGCACGTTAATTCGCTATGTGGATAGTCGACAAGTGTTGTGTCTAGTGAATGGAGTGATCGAGGAGTTGGGCGAGCTGGCATTGGTTTGTTTCAATTGGGTTATCAAGGTGCTTAGTTACTTTTAACATATTCACGACGATACGTCTCACCGTATTAATGACGATTATTTTTGGTATCAACTCAGATTTTCAGGGACTTTTGTTATTTATTCCGCAGAAAGTTCTCGGTAACTTTGTACTAGTTTTCAAGAGGAGATTCAGGGCTTTTGAGTGACTATAATATTTTAGTTTATCTTTGAATTTTCACCAAATTATCAGTAAAACAGTGACGACTACGCGACTATAAGCCCAAAATTCTGTCGTCATGAATGTGTTACTGTGTCTTTTCCCGCAATTGAAGTCGTATTTAGGTTTCAGTTGAATACTTTAAAACTTTAAAAAGCTCTTCAAATTTAAATTATTTTGCCGTACTTTCAGACTTTTCCTCAACTTGCTGAGACCGTGATGAACATTTTGGGACAGGTGATTTGTTTTGGGGTTATGTTTTAAAATTTACTTTTAGGTATCATTGATGGCTGAGAGTCGATTGGCGTTTCATTCAACGGGGGTCGTCTCGTCAAAAACGATGGAAAGGAGTCTGGTGAAGCGAGTCAAAGTACAAGCGGATTTGATTGCCCAGAAAACGCTCACTTAAACTGATTTCTTCATATAAATACGGGTATTTTTTGGTGATTTTAATATTTTCTGGGTATTTTATGATATTCTTCTTTCTACGGATAATTTTGTCTTGTTGTTCTCACTTTTTGTTGTCTTTAGTTTTGTTAATTTTCATTTTGTTTTCCTATAGTGTTTCATTTGGCTCCTTTCAATTGCTCACCTTGAAAAGATCCATAAAATCTGCTATGATTTTCTAACTACTGCACTCAACACAAAATTTCAAATAGCATGTGTTTTAACTCGTAAACTATAGGAGTGCTTGTAGACTTACACACTACCGTATTTCTTCGGATAGAATAGAAAACGGGGTCTAGGGGTGATCGAAAAAATAGAAGACGGTTCTTTTATTCAGGGTATCACTTATTTTCTATCTTGCGCTAAAATTACCGTATCCGAAATCAGAAAGGTAAGCCCAAAAGCATAGTTTTATTCCGTTTCCTGTTTTCTGATGCTTTTCATATTTTATTGTGTTAATAATTTTTCTTTTTTAGGTGATGTCGCATTCAACAGAGTAAAAGTCAAACGAAAGGCCTACCCATCAGCATTCAAACTCGAAGCTTTTCGTTTTTCAAGGGAGAAATCAAAGGAGACCGCTGCTCGACGGTGAGCGGCGGCATGTTAACCCGAAGATGATTCGGGATTGAACGGCAAAAGGAGTAAAACGGCTCAAAGGCTGTGCACCTTAATTTCGCGCCATCGAGGAGGCGACTTATCAATGGGTCAAAAAGAAGCGAGAAGAAAAATGAAAAGTCTCTCGTCGGATGGTTCAAAATAAAGCAAAGGACTTCTTTCGCGAGTTGAAACTCGATTCCACAAAGTCATTTTCTGCAAGCAACGGATGGCTTTCAGATTTTTTGAAACGACAAAAATTGACTACAAGAGAACCCACAACGAGATGTCAACGGCCTCCAATTTCCTATGAGGACAAACTTGTCGACTTCGCGATGTTCATTATTTTGTTACAAATTGTTATAGCATACATAGGCATTGTTGTTAAATTTTGTCGTTAACATGTTACAATAAATTTTTATAAAGAAAGCTGTTTTTCTAAAGGTTGGCTACTTTTCTGAAAATTTTCTTGAATGCAAAAAAAGAAGAGTAAAATATTGGTCTTCTATTCGAAGAAATGCGGCATTCATTTTATTTCGCGATCGCGATTTACATGCAATTCGAAACTTTGTGTTGAGGTTATCAGTTTGTCAACTATAGCAAATTTTAAGGAGTTGAGACTTTTATTTTGTTGTTGAGTATTTGTTAAAGCTTAAATAAAGGTAATGGATGTTCAGGACCGTAACAAATTTTGAAACGAAATCTTAAAAGGCCCAAAAACGTGGCGAAATATGGCCATTTTCTGCAATTACCTATCCTCGATCCATTTTTGATTTGTTGGCATGCAAAAGCGAAGGTCACAAATGGGATGAGGCAGGGAGGAATGGAAATGGAAATGGAAATGGAAATGGAAAAGAGGAGTTCGACCTCGCGAAAAAAAAGTCCGGTACTCGGATGTTCGTTGACGGATTTCCTATGGATTTCCCAAGGACACAACAGACCCCAGAATTTGTGAAGTCCTTTGAAAAAGATCTATTACTCGATTTGGTTTGTTGTTTTGAATTCTAAATGAAATTTACCTAATGCTTTTGCAAATTTAACGATTTTGTACAGTCAAAAAAATGGTAGTTCCAAGGTTGACGACTCATTGGCATAATCAAGGCTATTAATGGTGTTCATGACTGAAGCTCCCTCAAATAAAGCCGTTTTCTAAAAAGCGCACTTGTCCATGAACTACCGTACCCTTCTGCATTTTTCTTTTGTTAAACAACAAATTATAAGCCTCATTGGTTGGCATTAACGAATAGTTATAAAAAAAAATTTCATTTTTACAGTGGAGAAATCATTAGTTTCAAACTTGATCACTCATTGGCATAATCAATGTAATTAATGATCGTTCATTATTGCACTCCTTTTAAATTAAAACATTTTTCATATTTTAAAAAAGTGCTCTTTGTAGTAAATCACCGTACTCAACCCTTCTAAACAATTAAATTAGGCCTCATTTCAATTCATGGTTCGTTTTTGGGCTCTGAAGTGGGTAAGATCACAGAGTGGCAATTAGGGGTAACTTTTGAAAACGCTTGGAGTACGGTAGCTTTTTATGGGGAGCTTTTTTATTTACTGCTCTTTTTAGTTGTTTTTTTCTTTACTTTACTATTAGGTTGATACAAAAGTCTTTTTTCATTTTTTTCGTACTTCCGTTAAAAAGTAACAAATGCACCAATTGAACAACGGTTTATTGCATTCGAAAGGCCAATTATTTTTCTGCAAAATGACATTAAAACGAGTTTAAAATGTCTTATGTCTAGATTTTTTTGAGAGCCTGAAGTCGGGTAGTCAAAAAAGGCGACGGCTCGATGATGCATTTTAGACGCTTTAGCTAAGGAAACCAATCTTGATGTTAATAAATAAAAGATAGAGCACAAAAAGTTAGATATTTTTTCAGATTTTCAGAGAAATTGATTCAGCCAATTTCTTTATAGAGGTTTTTATAGATTTTTATGAAAAACCCGTTTTCACTCTCGAATTTGCTTGAAAGTGAACCCAAATTGACTTAAAAAGATGGGAAATTGAACAATAAACACTTTTCATTTAGAGCAAACCATAGGTTAATTGATGACTTTGTTATTTTTCAAAAGAAGTACGAAAAAAATGAAAAAGACTTTTGCATCAACCTAATAATTTTTTTTTGTTTTCCAGATAGCAAAATGGTTTGATGTGCCGTCATTAAGGAATGGGAGTTTATGTTTGTTTTTCTCTCTCTGGTTTAAGTTTTAAAATTTAGATTCCTTTGAAGATTAGATTTTGAAGCAAATCAAATTGCAATTTAGTGAGTTTTCGAACAATAAAATTATTTTATTTTTGAGCAACAATAGTAAAAATTAACAACAAAACTTGGATCTAGTTACACATTAAGTTTCGATCAAATAAAAGAACGTTTTGAGCATGTTTCTTTTGAAGCGTGAAGATAAACTTCCAACTTGTTTCCTCTTTTGATTCGTGTGCACAATTGATCGAAAATTGAATGTAAACTTTCTAGGCCTTCTTCGTACATGTTCCCACACGTTGTTCCCACACGTTGTTCCCACACGGACATGTTCCCACACGTTCCCACATGTTCCCACAGTTTTCAAAAAGTTGGGTAAATGAGCAAGGGCAACATGAGCTTTGACTGATTACAATCCAAGTTTGCAAAATTCCAATGATTTTAGCAAATCGTCGGTAGCCAAAAGAATTTCTTCAATTTCTTGATCTGTCATCCTTATCTTTGTAGAGCCAGCCATAATCGAAAATGTTGGAGGCAATACTTGGAGCGGATTTTTCGAGCCAGTCGAAGATTTTCAACGTGCTTCTTCTTCTGTTGTTTTGCTTCTTTTTCCATTCGCCTTTTTGCATTGAGCGCAAGGATCGTTTTCTTTTTGTTGCCTTCTCTCATCTGAACTTTCTCCCGATGCTTTTTGATTCTCCTTTTTGCAGCACGACTACTTCTCTTAGGCCTCGTCATTTTGCTATCTGGAAAACAAGAAAAATTAGTAAATTAAAGAAAAAACAACTAAAAAGAGCAGTAAATAACAAGAAAAATCTTAATTTCGTCGAAATATGACTTTCCATTATAGGCTAAAAAATGCAGAGTACGGTATTTATCCATGCTTTAGCGAGCAAAAAGTTGTCGAACTGCATTTTTGGATTTAAACTGTTATAACTTGTTACAGGTATATCCAATTTTTGTACGGTTTCTTTTAAAATGAAGATCCTATTCTGGGCAACTAAATTTATCTCTTGATAACACATAATTTTCTGTTTTTGACGAGATATGGGCATCAGGGCATTTGCGTTTTGTCATTTGCGCAACAGGGTCATTTGCTCAACTGGGTCATTTGCGCAACTGGGTCATTTGCGCAACAGGGTCATTTGCGCAACAGGGTCATTTGCTCAACTGGGCCATTTGCTCAACTGGGCCATTTGCTCAACTGGGCCATTTGCTTAACTGGGTCATTTGCTCAACTGGGTCGTTTGCGCGACTGGGTCATTTGCGCAACTCGCCATAACTTTCTTCTATGTCGGCCAATCTTTATGCTTTTATGCAATCAGCTCACTTTTTCACGTTAAATGGTGCATAGCACAACAAAATCCGATAGAAAACGAAATTTTACATTGTTTCGCGCCGATGTGCATTGTGCTTTTTTTCTGAAAATTTGTGCTCTTGAATCTAATCAAAAAAAAGAAATGAAGTAACAATCCGCAAAGAAAAAAACCCGCTAAATTGGATCCCGATTCCGATTTGGAACGAAAAAAAAAAGACGTTTTTCTTTTCAAAAATTTCTATTTCAAGAAATTTCACGAAAAAAAAGAAATTCTAGAACATATTTTATTTAAACCCTTTTAACAAGCACATTTTCTTGAATCTCTTGAAATCCCCGAGGATTTTTGCGTTTTGTGAAGAAAAGTTTTTTTTTAAACAACAGCTAACAATGTTGAACCCTTTTTGGAAAAAATAATTGCCTTTGTTAGCTGGAATATCATTTTTTTCAATTTTTATCAAATCTCTAGGGATTTTTGCTTAAGTTCTATGCGAAAATTTTTGAAATTTCCATTTAGTAAAAGAGAAGGAAACGTTGCAATTATTTTCTTTGACCAAGATAGAAATTTTCGAGTTTTTTCTCTAAAGTTTAAATCAATTTAAATCAATCAAATTGATAGACTCAATAAAATGAATAGCTCCAATCGATTCGCCGACCCCGAAAACCCTTTGGCACAAATTTCCAGCTGAATATCGTTTGGAGCCACATACAAAGCAAAAGAGAAATCCCTAAGTAAATGACTGGGGAGGTGTTCTTTGTGCGGCCACGTAATCGCTCTTCAGCTGGCAAACGTGCTCGATAGATAGGTGCTCCCTTTTCGAATCGATTAACAGGAAGGACT